CCCGGTAATTCCTTGGGCCAGTGGCCCTTTGCTGCTTCCAGCCTCTTCTTCAGATTTTGCACAATTATTTTATTTGTTGACTTTGCCTGTTCATTTGCGCTCGGATAGTACGGTGACGAGGTAATCCTTTTTATCTTCAAATATTCAAGGAATTTTGTGACTTTTGCACCAATAAACTGTGGCCGGGTGTCGCATGCAATTTCCTTAGGTATTCCGAACCTGCATATTATATTCTCCCATAGGAAGTTGACCACCTCACGTCCTCCGATCCTTTGGTAAGGACCTGCTTCCACCCATTTGGAAAAAATAGTTAGTCAAAAATTAAAAGAAATATTACCTTTCCCGGAGCCGGTGGTAGAGGTCTGACAATATCCATCCCTCATTTCATGAATGGCCACGGAGACAAGATCGAATGTAACGGTTCTGCTGGTTGATATAGCATAGGTGCGTGGCGTTGGCACTCATCATATTTTCGTATAAAGTCTTTGGCATCTAGTTCCATGTGGGGCCAATAATATCCCGCTTGGACTAATTGCAACACCAAAGCATCTGCACCCGAATGGTTACCACATATTCTTTCATGGATTTCTCTCATTATGTAGCTTGCTTCAGATGCTCCTAGGCATCGGGCCAGCGGGCCTTGGAATGATTTCCTGCACAACTTCCCTTTCTCAAAGCTGTATCGTGCGACTTTAGTGCGCAGTGCTCTCGATGACTTGGGGTCCTTGGGTAGTTTCCCGTGTTCAAGATAATCGATTATCTCGTTTCTCCAGTCCCAGACCAGGTTGGTCGAATTGACCTTATAGTAACCCTTCGTGTCTAAGGCTGAGTTCATCAGTTGAACTATTGTCCCAGATTCTGGTCCCTGAATTTCTGTTAATGAGCCAGATTTGCTAACGCAGCTGCTTCCACGTTTTCTTCCCTCGGGATGTGGGTTATTGACCACTCATAGAATCATGACAATAAGGCCTGAACCTTTACCACGTACTGTTGCATTCACTCATCTTTGGTATCAATTTCGTAGACCTGATTTACCACCAGTTGCGAGTCACATTTGACGTTGATTGCTTTGGAGTCGAAGCCCTGGGCCAATTCGAGCCCTGTAATCAATGCTTCATATTCCGCTTCATTGTTAGTTAAAGTAACCGTCCTGATGGCTTGCCTTAAGGTTTCCCCCGAAGGCGTGACCAGGACTATTCCGAGCCCGGACCCTTTCACATTTGAAGCTCTATCCGTAAATAAGGTCCAGACTCCCGATGTTGGCTCTGACACCATTATTGCCTCTTTGGAGGCCAAGGGCATCAACCCTGGGCTGAAATCGGCTATGAAGTCAGCCAAAACCTGCGACTTAATCGCAGTCCGAGGCTTATACTCTATATCAAACTCGCTCATTTGGACGATCCATTTGGCCAATATACCCGAGATCTCGGGTTTATGGAGGATATTCCTCAGAGGAAAAGTAGTCACCGCCGCTATCGGGTGGCACTGAAAGTAGGGCCTCAGCTTCCGGGCGGCCACCACGAGGGCTAAGGCCAATTTTTCCAGATATAGGTAGCGGGTTTCTGCTCCCGACAAAATTTTGCTAACGTAATACGTAGGGGATTGCGTACCTTTTTCTTCCCGGACCAGGACTGTGCTTACCGCAACTTCCGAGACCGCCAGGTAGACCAACAATGTTTCTCCTTCTTTAGGCTTCGAGAGTAAAGGAAGGCTCGACAAGTATTTTTTCCTTCGAGGCTTGTCGACATTCCGGCGTTCAATCGAAGTTATTCTTCTTTTTGAGCAATGCGAAGAAGCGGTGACACTTTTCCGATGATCGAAAAATGAATCTGCTTAGAGCCGCCAATATGCATGTGAGTCTCTGTACTTCCTTTACGTTCAATAGTTGATCCTGGATATCCTCTATGGCTTTGATTTTGTCGGGATTCAACTCGATTCCTCTTTGTGAGACTAGGAATCCTAAGATCTTTCCTGAACCAATCCCGAACGTACACTTCTCGGGGTTAAGCTTCATATTATGCTCCCTCAGTGTGTCAAACGTTTCTTGCAGGTGTTTCAGGTGGCTACCTACATCTAGTGACTTAACGAGCATATCGTCTATATATACTTCCATAGTTTTTCTAATTTGTTTTTCAAACATCTTATTTACGAGCCGCTGATAAGTGGCTCCGATGCTTTTTAGTTCGAAGGGCATTACATTGTAACAGTAAGTACCAAAATTTGTAATAAACGAAGTCTTTTCCCGGTCTTCCGGGTTCATTTTAATCTGATTGTACCCGGAATAGGCATCGAGGAAACTCACTAACTCGTGCCCGGTCGTAGCGTCGATCATTTGATCGATATTTGGTAATGGGAACGAATCTTTCGGTCATGCTTTATTAATATCTTTATAATCTACGCACATGCGAAGTTTATTATTTTTCTTAGAAACTACTACTACATTAGCTAGCCAGTCGGGGTATCTTACCTCTCGGATTGAACCAATCTTAAGTAGGCGAGTTACCTCTTCTATGATGAATTTATTCCTTGCTTCTGCAATAGGACGCTTCTTTTGCCTTACCGGAGGGATGCTCGGGTCCAAGCTTAACTTTTGTACGGCTATCTTTGTCTTGATTCCTATCATATCCTCGTACGACCATGCAAAGCAATCGGCGATAATTTTAAGGAATTCGATACATTCTGACCAGAGTTCCGGGTGTAGTCCTGTCCCCAAATAAAATATCCTTTCCGAGAATTTTTCGAATAGTGTAACCTGCTCTAGCTCTTCTGCCGTGGATTTCATTGCGTTCGTTTCTTCCGGTACGTGAAAATACCTCGGTACATGATGTTGCTTCGACTCTTTTGTGCTCGGGGAAATTTCTTCTAGTTCGTGGTCGGAAGTTGGCTCCGGTAACTACTATGACGCAGGTTCTTTTCCCCTGCTATGGGAGACCGAGATTGCATTCATCTCCCTATCCACTTGTTGATCACCTATTATCCACTTGATCCCCTCCGGTGTTGGAAATTTCAGCAATTGGTGGTACGTTGAAGGCACAACTTTCATCTCGTACAACCATGTCCTTCCCATGATGATATTATATCCCATGTCCTATCTACTACTTCGAAGAGAGCCGTCATTGTTAGGCCCTCGGCATCTGTAAGCAACAAAATCTCCCATCGGGTTGTCATGCTTGCGAGGTTGAATACAGCTAGGAGCTTTGTTGTTTGGATGATGCTCCCGGTGAGTTTAGCTTGGTCTAGAACTCTCCATTGAACGATATTGACGAAACTTCCTAGATCCACTAAAACACGCTTAATTTTGAAATTTAACACATTTAAAGAAATTACCATTGCGTGGCTGTAGTAATCCGTCTGCGTCTTCATCCATGAACGTAAATATCGTCCTCTCGGAACCTCTTACTTTGAGTTGTCGATACTCTTGTCATTTTTGCGGCCGAGAAGGTTATTCCGTTAACCTCATTCCCTCCGAAGATCATGTTGATCGTTTGGCATAGAGGTTCCTATCTTGCTCTCGGAGTTTGTGCGTTGTCCCTATCCCGACCATAATTATTTTTGGCCCGAGCACTTATGAATTCCCTGAGGTATCCGTTCTTTAACAGCGTTGCCACTTCTTCTCGGAGGTGTCGGCAGTCCCCGGTCCTGTGGCCATTAGAGCCATGATATTCACACCATAATTTTGGGTCCCTCTAGCCAGGATCGGACCTCATTAGCCTCGGGAACCGCACCTCTTGGATGTCTTTCATGGCCGTCACTAACTCTACCATACTGATGTTGAAGTTATATTCTGATAACTTTGGATAGGAAGGATCTTGTGGCCCCGGGGTCTCTCTATCCTGCAGCGGTCTGTTATTCCTCCCGCGATCAGTTCTCCTGTCACTGATAAACTTGTCCACCGACCGGAAGCTCCTGCTGTGACCTTCTGTCTGCTCGTAAGGTAGGAACCACCCTCTTGGACCTCGTCTATTTGAGTCGACATCATCTCTCATTTTTTCCTTATTCTTCTCCCATCCTTTTACTGATGATGGGAAGTCTACCTGATCATCTTCGATCCTTATCTTTGACTCGTACCGATTGTGGACATCTGCCCAAGTTGTTGCATGAAACTCGAGTAGACTTTCCTTCAACTTTTGGGAAGCATCTGAGCTTCTCGGATTTAAGCCCTTTGTGAACGCTTCAGCCGCCCATTCGTCTGGTACAAGCGGTAACAACATACTTTCTCTTTGGAAACGGCTAACGAATCTCTGTAATAATTCAGACTCTCCCTGTGCGACCCTGAATATGTTGGCCTTCCGGGCTTGTACCTTCCTAGCACCGGCATGGGCCCTGATGAATAAATCCGCGAGCATTTCAAAGGAATCTATGGAATGCTTTGGAAATAATAAGTACCATGTCAAGGCTCCCCTTGTAAGAGTCTCCCCAAATTGTTTCAATAGCACGGACTCGATTTCGTGAGGAACCAGATCATTTTCTGTGGATTTGAGGTCCCATCGTATTTTGGCACTTCAGACATTCTGAATCGTTTTGGTATCGGTTTCGGGGCTGCATTCAGCTTGTACGGAAATTGGATGTACCTTTTCGAGCTTGGGCCTTTCAACACCGGGGGAGCGCCCGGGATTTGATCCATCCGGGCGTTTACTTCCTTCATGAACCGCAAGATTTCCTCCTTGAATGGATCGTCATCATTGTTGAGGCCATATCTGCTACCCCCAGCCCCGTCGGAGCCAGCTTCACTCCTGGGAGTGTTGTTGCCGATTCTCTGCATTGTTTGGTTTGTAGGAACAGCGGGAGGAACTGTATCTCGCCCGTTTGCATTATTTGAAGCGCCTGATAGTGCATGTTTTAACTCTGTCATCGCCTGATCCTGCCGCGTGAGGTGGTCTAGAATGATTGCATGTTATTTTTGCAGGATCCTTACCACATCTGCTACGTGCTCTTGGTCAGCATCATCTGGAGTCACCTCCCGTACTTGTCTAGGGTATAGCCTATCATACATCGGCATGGCATCTTCTCCTTCATTGCGAGTGTCGCTGATTGAGTCCTTTAGATGAGGGTTTTCCCCTTGAACTACAGGACCGTGAGGGTTGTTGATGGTATCGATTGCCATTTTTGTGATCTTGCTAAGACAAGAATGATCAAAGCTTGTGAGTGAGAAAAGTAAGAATTAACTTAACCACACGATTGTCTAAGCCCCACGGTTGGCGCCAAACTGTTTACCCGTAAATCGGTACAACTAAATTTGTTCTTAGTTTCTAGACAGATGAGTCAATTAGATTCCAAAGATCATGAATTAATCGATTTACATGTAAGATACTTAGCTCAAAATGTAGATGGAATGATAGATTCAAAGAGCCCGAGAACAAGGTTTCCGGACACAGTGATGATAAGATTCACAAGCGAGCGAGAGAGAAAAAGGAATTAGATTGTTCTATAGAATGTCTTCTCCCAAGGATCTCTTACAACGATGGTTGAACCTATTATTTATAGCTCAGTGGGCGTAATGGTCGGGCCCACCACTAATGACAATTATTGGAATGTGATAATAAAAATTAACGGTAAACATAGATGCTCAGATCTTATTAATGAGTCGTTACTCTTTAATGCTGTGGAATATTCTTCAGTAAATAGCACCGGGCGCAGCATGCTCAATCCCTTTACGGAATTGCCCCTTTTCGGCGACACACGAGATGATTGTGCCCTATTTTACATTCCTCCCGGTTTCGACTCCATATGTCCTCTTCTCAAACGGACACGTAACATATCATATTTTACCCCATACAATTTTGGGAGACTATAATTTCATAAACTTATATTATTGGTTTCATATTAGTATGCAGCGTGCTCGGTGCCATTTACTTTCTCTTCTACCTTGATTTATTCTGGTATCTAGCGAAATCAGCCTGGCAGCAAAATGGCATATATGAAAATTCAGATGTTTCCTCCAGCTAGATTGTTGTGCATTTTTCGTGAGTGATGTGCATGTTTTGTGCATTTTTGGTGAGTGCACGTGGTGTGCATTTTCCACGTGCATGTTTTGTGAGTTCGTGTCATAAATAAGTATAAAAGTCCAAATATACCTCAAACAATTTAAAATGTGCGGGTATATAGAATACTTGAAAATTCATTCCGTCAAGTATAAGTACTATTTCACCCTTCTGGTCCAATTTTGGAAGATCGTAGCGCTAATATGGTGACTTTAACACAGTTTATATTTTCCTTTTTCTATTATTCTATGTCTCATCACTCTTTCTAATTTATGTAATGTCAACACAATTATTATTGTACAAAACAAAATATTAGCAATCAGAAAATATGATAGAAATGTCAACACATTAGATATTTCTCCTTAACATGATCTTAGGAAGTCCAAATGTGATAGAATACCTAAACTCCCTCCTCCATTTCTTGAGGACCAGCTTGATAGTGTAAGAAATCCAAGTATCCAAAGAATCATTTATTGTATATACAGTATGTGTAAATTTCACTTTCTAGTTTTTAACAGAAGTACTAAAACTTGACAAAGACTACTCATATAAATGTTTTTATAGTTGACCTTCTATTTTCCTATTTCCTACACTTCTATATGCAGATGCATTTATCTTCCAAGTCGCTTTGAACTAACTTTCATCATCTGTCATACATGGAGTTTGCTGCTAGTGATCCTACACGTCCTGACATACAGAGACCGGAAGATGAAGTGAAATACATCAAAAGATTTTTCTTTTACTGTCACGATCCAAAAATTACACCTGTTGTGATGGCGCCTATCTTAATACTAGGCAAGCCGACAACCTCAATAAATCACGATTTCCTTTAAGTTTGAAAACATAATATTTAAATACAACACAAAAATCTCGCAAATACCGATACAAACACACCCAAAATCCGGTGTCACTGAGTACATGAGCATCTAAATGATAGCAATGTCTGACTGATAAAACACTGTCTAAAAATATAGAACAATACAAAAACTAAAAGGAAAGAGAGTCAAGCTTTGCGGACGTCAATCAACTACCTCGATAGTCTCCAACGGAAAAACCTTCGAAAAACTAGCAATCGCCTTGTCCCGAAGTACCTGGATCTGTACACAAGGTGCAGGTTGTAGTGTGAGTACAACCAACTCAGCAAGTAACAATACTAAATAAAGAGCTGAAGATAGTGACGAGCTTCACTGCTAAGTCCAATTACAGAAATTTCCAACATAAGAAGATAGGTATGCTTTCATGCTTCCCATTTAAAACTCAACAGTAATTTCATATCAAGTTCGACTGAAAAAGGAGATAATATCTTTAAGAAATTTCCAAAATAGTGATATATGACAGCTGAAGTGTAACAACAATAAAATCAATGCATCCTCTTAGAGCAGCAGTCAGCCAGTCCTCCCATTCACTCCATCCTCATAATCACTCTTTCCTCACAATCACTCATTCCTCTCAATCACTCAGCACACGGCACTCGCACTCAGTAGGTACCTGCGCTCACTAGGGGTGTGTACAGACTCCGGAGTGGCTCCTTCAACCCAAGCGCTATAACAAGCCAATCATGGCATACATCAATGAATCATACTGTGGCGTGCAGTCCGATCCCATAAATATCCTCACAATCAGGCCCTCGGCCTCACTCAGTCATTAACCTCTCGAGTCTCTCGGGATCAAAACGTCATTAAAATCAGCCAAAAAATGATAATATGATGTATCAATAAATAGCAATAGAGACTAAGATATGATATGAAATGAATGAACATGACTGAGTGTGAAATTACAATTTGAACATATAATTCAATCGTAGAAATGACCCCAATGGGTACCAATAATAACAGCATATGCCTAAGCATTATTTTTAATACGAGTCTCATCTCAATTTTTCTAACACATAGAAATTGTACGGATATCAACAGGTCATTCAACTACACAGTTCCATTGAATTGACCAAGTCACAATTTCTACGGTGCATGCCCACACGCTCGTCACCTCAAAACCAATCACATAACACATAATCTAGGGTTTCATACCCTCAGGACCAAATTTAGAACTGTTACTTACCTCAAACTGTCTAATTCTTTATTCTGCAATTCCTTTGCCTCGCAAATCGGCCTCCAAACGCCTTGAATATTGCCACAAATAATTTGATTCAGTCAAAATAAATTATTGGAATCAATTTCATATGAAAATACTAATTTTCCAATAAAATCCGAAATTGCACTCAAAAATTGCCCGTGGGGCTCACGTCTCGGAACCCGACAAAAATTACAAACTATGAATGCTCATCCAACCACGATTCCAACCATACAAATTTCACCAAATTACGACATCAACTCGACCCTCAAATCTTCAATTAAAGTCTTTGAAGATTTCTACCATTTTCAACCCAATCTTTACCCATTTGAACTCAATAATTTTTCCACAAATCTTATTGGTACGTGTATGTATAAATAATACTCTCACACCCAAGAATCCTACTCCTAATCACCCATCTTTACCCAAACGTGAAATTGAAGACTAGGGTTAGAAATTCTTACCTCTTTGAAATCCTAGCAAGATCCTTATGAAAATTTTAAACCTTGAACAAGAATTGATGGACAAATGACTAGGTCTTCACTTTCTCTCTCTCAAAGATGCTCTCACCTCTCTCTAAAATATCAGATAAAACTCTTCAAAATGACCCCCAATACCTTTTTATAAAAATAGGATCGGGTAAAATTTTTAAAACTTAAACTTGCCGAAATCGGGTCTGCTATCGCAGACCGTACCGCATAATCGTAATGCGGCCCGCATAATCGGTCGCAAAAAGGCCCTCCGGAAAAAGGCAACATTATTTCAGTCTGCAGCCATTATGCGGTCCGCAGACCTATTCTGCAATAGCATAATGCACCGCAGAACTGGTCTGCGGTCGCATAATGTGCCGCCGACCTTCCTCCAAACTTGCCCCACCTCTGATTCACTCTGCGGCCATTATGCGGTCCACATAGTGGGCCGCAAAAATGACTTTT